CTCTCCCTGCCGCCCGCCGGGGCTTCCTCTTCCTCCCCCAGCCCCCGCATCCTGCAGGGAGCCACGGGAGCCCAGGGGCCAGCGTGGGGCCCCGAGGGCAGCTCATCCCTTGGGGAGCAGCCAGCCCAGCGGCCGCTGCCCGGTGCCCTGGCCCAGCGCAGGCGGCAGCGGCCCCGGGACAGCACAGCCCATTTCCTGAATTGCCCCGGGCAGGAGCCATTCGCCTGCCGAGTGCTTCCTGAGCGGGGCCACCTGCGCGGCCACCGCTGCCGGCACGGCCACCCCGCGCGGCCACGGCCAGCAGTGGGCACCCAGTGCCCTGCCCGGGGCTCCCCCCGGCACCCGCCCTCCTGATCCTGCAGCCACCCGGGACACCAGCACTCGTGAGCGGGATGCTCCGGTGGCAGCGCGTGGCTCCGGTGCTGCTGGTCCCGCAGCTGCCCAGCTGCCCTGCTGAGTGGCTTCCAGGTGGGAGGGCGGCACCAGGGCTGCACAGTGGCACCCGTGGGTCCTCGTCCCCATCCCAGTGCATCTTTGCTCCTCTAGTCCAGCTCGGGCTGCAAGCCAGACAGACATCCAACCTGCTCCAAACCCACGGCCACTGTGGATGGGGCAGCTGGACATCCATGGCCCTGTCTCCAGCCGCCCAATGCCCCACGCCAGGCTGTCACCTGGGGCGGCCGCAGCAAGCAGGCCATGTTCAGTCCCCAGGACCCTTGTTCAGCTCATGGGCAGCGTGAGGTCTGTTGCTGCCGTGAAGAGTGTTTTGTCCACGCTCTGCACGCAGCAAGGGCACCATCGTGGCAGAGGTGCCGGGCACCCCGGGCACCGCGAGGCCGCCCACGCCTGGCCCCACGCGGGAGCCCCCTGCCCAGCCACGGGGCTGCCTCCCGCGTCCCACCGAGTCCCCGCCGCTGCTCCGGCCGGAGCCGGGCCCCCCGGGGGCGCAGCCCCCGCGCCGGGGCAGGGAGCAGCCCGAGCCCCGCACTCACCCGCGGAGGC